GCATGTGGCTTTGGCACTCATTTTCCAGGGGTCTGGTGTTGTAGCGGTCTGTGTTACCGTGGACCTGCTGGCTGTTGGTGATGGGGGGGGGGGGGAGTCCGGGGAGAAGAGGCTTTTCCTCTTTCTCTTCTTCCTCCCGTGTCCTGTCCCCTCAGGCGTGCGAAAGGGCTCCTCCCCTCTGGATTCGAGGCGAGCTAGCTCCAATGCTGCTGTTGGGGGCGGGGATGGTGGTGGGAAGGCTCTCCTGGATCTCCATGGCGGCGACTGATGGAGTCTTCTTCACCTTTGGCGGCCTGGCCTTCTGTACCGGGCGTGGTGCAGCAGGGCAGGGGCCGGGGTGTTTTTCTCCTTAGGCTTGGTCTTGGCCGGAGCTTTGACCAGAGGCTTTTTACTTTGGCCTAAGTCAAAGGAGATGGAGAGGGTGGAGGAGTTCGACTTGTAGGAAGTCCTGAGGGAGTAGTCCCCAACCCTGTAAGCCAGCAAGGGCTCCAGGATGGCGACTAGCTCCCTCGGTAGCGACAAAGCGGTGTCTCTTATAGTAGAGCGTGGGTAGGGAGCTTGGAAGGACACGTCTGCACGGGGCGAGTGTCCAAGCCGAGATGGTGGTGTGGGTCTTCTGACTGACTGACTGATATAGAAGATTTAACGTGCGCTTTCCGACTGCAGCGTATTTCGCACACGGGCCTGGCCAGACCATTTAGTGTATTCCGAGAAGGGTGAAAGTGGTGTGTGCAACACAAGAGGGGGCTTTTAGGGGTTGCTTACATCGATTTTTTGAAATTTTAAAATTTGGAATAAATGCCGAGGTGGGTGGAGGAGGGAACTAAGGGAGCCGGGTGAGGTGGGTGTATGTATGTTTATTGGATTTTGGATTGGTAGATTAATTAGTTTTTAGATGCGCTTGATTAGGCCTGTTTTGATTAGGAATACGCCTAGGGCCTTGAAGTTTTCTAGTTTATTTTGAGGGTTTAGTATTTCTTATTTAGTTGGTCTTCATCACGGACATCTATTTATAGCCTAAATAGCACTGGAAACACCACTGCTTATGTTGGAATTCTCCTGATTGTCCAAAACATACAATTTGTAAAGGTAATTTACAAAGAGGAATTTTATTGGACAGCTTGAAATGAATTTCAGAGGAGTTGTCACGTGGCCGTGACACGATGATAGTTGCGTTAATTACATCAGATGAACATTAATTTTGTTTTTTACAGCTGCTATATGGATGTCTAATGGGTGTTTAGAGCGGGTGTCTCGTGACCGTGACACGAGGTTAATTACATAGTCTGGATGTCGATACAATGTTTAATTAAGTAATTGACAGGTAAAGTTCATGTCACGTGACCGTGACACTGTGGTAATTGTATTAATTGCATAGTCTGGATGTCTACACAATGGTCATTTAGTAATTTACAGCTAAAGAAACAAAAGATTTTAAGTATGAATCATATATTGTGCAGTGTCACAATACTGTAGACTGTGGTGCTGTTGACTGAGAGGATGTAACTGTGTGTGATGCTGTTGGCTGAGGGGATGTAACTGTGTGTGATGCTGTTGACTGAGAGGATGCAACTATGTGTGATACCGTTGACTGAGGGGATGTAATTGTGTGTGAGTCTGTTGATTGAGAGGCTTTAACAGTGTGATACAGTTCACAGACAGTCTAAATGGCTGCGTATCGGGACCCTATCCAACATAGATGTAAATTCCTTGCTCAACAGAGAGAACACGTGGAGACGTGTTAACACCTGGGTTATGTCACCCGTGGAAGTTCACGGCAATACTTTGTAATAAACCTAAGACTCTAGATTGTAACAACTGAAGAGCTGAATTTACATTCTTGAAACACCTGTTTCGCAAGGAAGAAAGGCAATCTTCCAAGTGACTTTTAATTGTGCAAAGCCGGATATTCCTTAATCAACTAAAACGTTTCACAGTCACATGATAATGATCAACGTACACGTTATGGAAACGGCACATTAATGAAGCCTGCATACCCGTCATTGCACAATTACAATGATGACACCAGGTGCTCGCGATACGTTTGGACATATCCTATGACGAAGCGAACATGACATTCCACACGTGTAGCGACGCGTGAGAACAAGAGAACTACCAAACAAGACTGTCTTTCTTTTGTCTATTCAACATCTGTAGTAAGACAAGAGTACTGCGTGGTCTGCCAGTAGCTTCTCCGAAATACTACAAACATCCTTCATATGGGGTAAAACACGAGGTAAAAGAAATCTTGCAATTTATCTTTCATTGTCTTCTCTGCATGTGTATAGCTGTTTTTGCCGTGTTCTAAGTGATTGGTAACCAGCCAGACAAAGGCCTTGCTCACTGAAATGTGCGCTTTTTCAAGAAATATTCATTTGGCTTGCAATAAACATAATTATTGGGTTTTCATCACGTGGTTACTATCCGGGTTAGCTTCGGCAGTCAAGTGTGTGCGAGCTGTTATATTTAGCAGCGTGTGGAACGCATGTACATTCCCAGCACGCACTGAAAGAAAACAAACGTGCAGATGTAGTATTTAAAGCGCCGTTGACCAAGTTCACTGCTAACGTTGACCGCTCGCAGTCACCTGATTGCCGATTCTTACCCGGATTGTAGCCACAGTAATGATGTTTATCGATGGCAAAATGGATATTCATAAAAAAACGCACTGTTCAAATTTTGTCACCTATCACAAGTATTGACATTTGAAAACAAACTGTTCCACAATTATGTTGGTCTGACAAACGTTCCTGAGACATCAAACTAACAGAATATGAAGGCATATTTCCGAATATTTGGTGTTCTACGTAACGAAAATTCTACGCTCATTTTGAAAATTAGCTCCTCGACTAAGGCATTGAGCTCTGTGACAATTCGGACACTGTAAGAGAATAATTTTTACTACCATGGTGGTGAAGGTGGTATTTTAGTTCATTTTCATTAATGGTTCAATGGTTCTACTTTGCCATACATCCACTCACGCAATACAACGCCATTGTCAGAAAGTAGTAAGTCATGTATTAAGTGTATGTAACAATAACGAGGAGACTTGAGAAAATCTCCTACAGCCTCCATACATGTTTGAGTGTCATCTAATAATTATTGATTTTCCTTACATACATCAACATACACGCACATGCTCTGCTGCTATTGAATTGTTGGATTGTGGTTCTATGCATAGTTTCGTCATGTTATAGTTCGGCGAATCTTTCATATTGAAGTACTAATCAAAATACACAGCATGAACCTACCTTGTGTTGACTTAATGGACAATACCGCCTGTAGTTGCCTAGCGACCGGCCTTATAGTTATAAGTAATAGTTCGTAAATACGGTCTCCCAGTGTTTTGTACATATAGCTGGAGGGAACTATTGATACAAATTGTTTTTGATTTCTTGTCAAATGCCTTAATGTATCCTGTGTTCGACTTGGAATTGTTCTTAACCGTTTCACTATAGATGCAATCATCTGAATTGTAAGAATCGGACGTAATTTCAAAATTAATGCATTGATTTTAGTTTAAACAACATAAGTAAATACGCTATTACGACATTATCTGGTTCAGCACTTGATTTTCTGATCAAGACTTGATTGTTTACATGATTATTGCTGTGCGGCTTCACTTACACGAACCTTCTACAGAAAACTACGTTTATAACGAACACGCTTATAACCAACTGACGGATATAACGAACTTAATTTATTGTCCCAACTATTTGTGTTAGTTATGCTGTATATATGCTTTTAACGAATTACGGTTATTACGAACTAAAATAAGTGGTCCCTTGAGTTCGTTATAACCGTAGTTTACTGTATTTTGCAAATTGTGCGCTTGCAACCGGTAGAGCAGGACACGCTTACCCTTTTCGCGAACACGTTTTCTTCACTGATTTTCAGTGATCCTTTCACATAATTTCCATCTCTCTTCTGCCTTTTACGGCCAATGGAATCTGTTTCGAAAGATAACCGAGACTGGTTATCCTCTGGTTGGCGTGAATATTCATTGTATACACTTGTACTGATATGTAAAGCTCCTTTACAGTGTCCTGACAAATGAAACAGTAGCCGTTAACCCCTTCGCTTTCATGGAAGTCAATAATGATAATACTTCAAATATATTTGGTTAAAACTGAAATGTGGATGGCGAATCTATCAAGGTAGATTAGACTGGCCCAAAGCAACGAATCAGTTTCCGGAGCCAAGTGCCAAGTGGCAGCTTTAACCGGGTAGACTGTTTGATACTCTAATATTTTATGAAGTACTTGCGCTTTTAAACGTAACATAAGGCTTCCCATAGCAGTGTATGTAGTTTTATTAAAACACACGATTCGTATTTCTGTATGCTGTCAAAACACATATGTTTTGTTATTTCAATTCTAAACGTGATAGAGTCGCGTGCTTTTGTGAAATTCTACCTGCAGCTATTGCGGTTTTAAATACGTGGACATATCACTATCCCTGTATCCGATGTCGTGACATGCTAACTGTCCCTTCGGTAGTCAATGATGACGACGAAGGATGGAACCAACTTTCTGTATTGCGTTCTGACGAGAACATAAATTGCTCAACTCACATTACACAGCGTGTTACTTTGTCAGCTAAAGAAATCAGTCATAGCACGAAATCTATATCAGTAAGCTAAGAATTGAAACTAGCAGGCATCAATATATGTGAAAGGCTCGATCACTATATTGCCTCGATAAGCAAAACAAGCCGCTATTTGTAAATGGTTGCTGAACATATTGGGAACCCAGTGAGAGTGTTCGCTATGTACACTACCATGTTGTGTTTGTTCCGTGACTACATCGAGAACAATACACGTGGTGGAAATAGCCGTGTGATGTTCTCGAGAAATAGTCCATCTCACATGTGTTGTTTTATCATTACCAGGTGCATCGTGCGTCAACTTTCATTTTGGTATCCAATGGCGACAGATATACATTGAAGTCAATGCAGACACAGTACTGCCGTTGTGATTTTACAATATATAATGCATAGATGTGGCCTCTTTTGATAATGCATCTTCAAATTAATGATTTAGGGGGCAAAACATCTAGGAATATCAATCGAATGACATTTGGACGTAAATATTAACTTAAGCGTTCAAACAGCATGATGTCAGTGGAGTGAGAAAGTGAAGGGGTCGGTGTAGTGACAGCATGGGAACAGTATGATGGCAGGAAGAGGGAAGCAAATGAATTTCTCCCAAACTGTCAACCCAAACATTCAAACACCATCACGTCAAGAGCTTGTTTGAACTTGTGAAGGGGTCGGTGTAGTGACAGCAAGGGAAAAGTATGATGGAAATTCGACGAAACCAGATGAATTGTCATCAAACTGTCAACTCAAGCGTTCAAACAGCATCACGTCAAGAGCTTGTGTGAACTTGTGAAGGGGACGGAGAAGTTACTGCAAGGGAAAAGTATGATGGAAATTCGACGAAACCAGATGAATTGTCATCAAACTGTCAACTCAAGCGTTCAAACAGCATCACATCAAGAGCTTGTGTGAACTTGTGAAGGGGACGGAGAAGTTACTGCAAGGGAAAAGTATGATGGAAATTCGACGAAACCAGATGAATTGTCATCAAACTGTCAACTCAAGCGTTCAAACAGCATCACATCAAGAGCTTGTGTGAACTTGTGAAGGGGACGGCGCAGTGACAGCAAGGAAGAGTATGACGGCAGGAAGAAAGGCGCAGAGGAATTGCTCCCAAACTGTCACCTCAAGCATTCAAACAGCATCACGTCAAGAGCTTGTGTGAACTTGTGAAGGGGACGGCGAAGTGACAACAAGGAAGAGTATGACGGCAGGAAGAAAGTCGCAGAGGAATTGCTCCCAAATTGTCATCTAAAGCGTTCAAACAGCATCACGTCAATAAGGCTGCGTGAACTTGTGGCGGCGACGGTGTGGTGACAGCATGACAGCAGGAAGAGGAAACCAGATGAATTGCTCCTAAATTGTCACCTCAAGCATTCAAACAGCATCACGTCAATAAGGCTGCGTGAACTTGTGGCGGGTACGGTGTAGTAACAACAAGGGGACAGTATGACAGGTCGAGGAAACCAGGTATGTAAAGGCAGAAAGTATCCATACGATGATCATGTTTAACGTTGGGGAGCCTTGACAGACATATTCCCATGGTGTGCATGACTTCTGGAATTACATCCCAGATGAAATACCTCTTTTGATCCTAAAATATTTCATTTCAGGATACAGCTAATTATTCATGTTGGTATAACGAAACATTGTTTCATATGATATAATGTTTTCGTTGTGTACGGCTTTATACGACATTTGTACACATTGGTAAAGTTACCCTTAGCTTTATTCTGACCCTTATTGTTCATTCCTTATCATACCGCCACAAGGCCAGTAAAACTTAACAGCTTATCCGATGTAGTCGTTCATCATCACTAGAAAAGTGATTTTATCATAAAAAGTAATAACTACGAGCATGGACCATTATTTTGTATTTTTCGTGTTTGTATGCAATGGTATAGATACCAAACCAAAACAACATTTGTGGTATAGTAACTTCAAGGGTGGAAAGCAGCAATACTTGGCACCTGGGACACACTATTAAATTCCTTTACAACATGGCATGTACACGTATATTTACTCATTCTGGAATAAAACGACTTTCCAGGCAAACTGCACCGATACCTCTGAACACGTCCCGTCTATGTAGATATTTTAAGAAACATGTCTGTAACAACAGTAAACGTCTGTAAAAGAAACATGAACAGAGTTTAGAGACCAGGCTAAAACAACATAGTTTTGGGATATTAAATCATTAATATTCTGCACCTGAAATAAACCATTTAATTCTTTATAAAATAAAGGTATATTTCTCATTCAGGAAAGAAACGATTTTCCAGTCAACCTATAAGTGAGTGAGTATGGTTTTACGCCACTTTTAGCAATATTCCAGCAATATCACGGCGGGGAACACCAGAAATGGGCTTCACATATTGTACCCATGTCGGGAATCCAACCCAGGTCTTCGGCGTGACAAGCGAACGCTTTAACCACCAGGCTACCCGACCGCCCTGTCAACCTATAAAACATACTCTGCACACGACTCGCCTATGTCCATAGGATGCACACACAGTAAACTACGGTTATAACAAACTCAAAGGGACCAATCATTTTGTTCGTTAAATCCGTAGTTTGTTATAAGCGTTTTAACTAATGGTTATCCCAAATGACCGGGGCCAAAAACAACAGTTCGTTATAGCCGTCACTTCGTTAAAAACGTAGTTTGCTGTATATTTGATTATTATTTCATCTGTCCAAGAAACATGAGTTCAGACCTGTGAATGTTAAAGCTAATCTGTTTCTTGGTGACATTTCCATCTAGCCATTGTGTCATTGTCATTGGAGTTGACGCAACATCGATTTGAGCCTTGCCATATCGATTCAGCTGTTACAGCATGTATTCCTTGATGTCCAGTCTCATGTTGTGTTTTGGTTTGGAAGCAATATGTCTTCATTGTTAAACTTTATGCTTCGATAACGTTACACATGTCGTATATTACAACTGAGTTAGAACAGTGAGATCCCATCCCTTGCATGTCTTGTGACTATGAGAAAACATCAGTCGGATCCGATAAATTGATTCTGTATAAAAATGGATTACAACATTCCTAATGGAAAGATCAAAGCCGCCTACGAAGCATGACCTATATTAAAGTGAGTACTTGTATAAGTTACGAAAGTCAATGATTAATAGCTCCACCACATACATGGATTTTTTAGACATTTGTTTTGATCTAGAAAACAATTTAGGCATACTTATATAATTGATCATGCCATAAGTCCACAACGTACAGGTGTAAGAGTGGAAAAGTCTAGTTGTCAGTCATTATAACATACATTGATAATTTTGATAGCAATAATACAAACTTATCCACATTTTGTAAATTGACATCACTTGTGATCCATAGAGCTGAAAATAAACCTGACGCTTGCCTAACTATTTATGTAATCATGTAAACAGTTATCAGGGTAAAATTCAAATTCTTGCTATCAAAATATCTCTAATATAAGGGCAAGTGCAATTAATACTGGTGCGTGCGTGCGTGCGTGCGTGCGTGCGTGCGTGCGTGCGTGCGTGCGTGCGTGCGTGCGTGCGTGCGTGTATGTGTGTTTGTGTTCATGTGTGTTTATAAAGACAACAATCTGTAACGCTGCATTCATGGTGTAATTTGTCAACATTCTTGTACCTATGGATAACAATACATGCCAAATAATACGCACATAAAAAAACAGAGAACATTCCTAGTGCCGAGTAAAATGCACGACCTGCGCTTGGAACCTCGAAAGCTAAGGTATGTTACTATACTATGTGATGCAATTTCAGTTATTCAGTCACTCGTTAAACTTCTCGAGAAATGTACACAAACGCCAAAAGCATAATTCTGTAAAGAGGGATGATTTCATTTACGATCCGTGTCATCTGTGTCACGCTTTTTCACGCTGTCATGTTAGTGCCTCATTTCAGATTCAGAGTGAGTGAATGTCGCTTTTGGCCACATACAGCAATGTTCCCTCTACGTCATGGTCGCTTGTACATAACCGAACATAGGCCGGGCAAATCAGGCAATGACTGCACGAACAAATATCGTCCATATATAATGCGCCATATTCCACTCAAATGAATACTCATGGCGCGCCATTATTATTACACGGGTCAGTGGCTAAGTGTGCACTCGATTCTCAGCTCCCCGAGGAATATACAACCAAAGCTGCCTGCGAGGCGGTAGAAGGTTAACAATCATAATACCATCTCATCCTTCCTGGTACCCATTCATCGCCAGGTGAACAGACTGCTTCGGTGTGGGGATGCACGTGTCTACAAAGTGATGCCGTTATTTCAAACGATTTGCATATGTTGTTTTAGAACAGATCACATGAACATATATACACATCAAATCTTGATATCCAAATAATGCCCACTTTTATAAGAAATGTAAAACCTTGTGTATGAATGAAGCCCTTGAAAACTTGGAAATTACCCGGAAAGCTCAAACCAAAGTCAATTCAAGGTATATTAATGTGACCTATATTACCATCGAGTATTTATTGGGGTATCTACTTTGGAGTGGATACTTAGACATTTCTGAAAATCCGGTCATAGGATTATTGCAAATTGTATTCCCGCATTCGACAAAAATGATGATACTGTGATTCAAAAGTGCAGTTTCGTATGGAATAATCGCGAAGTTAGCTCATTACCTACCCTTTTGCGACCTTTTTATCCAATGATTATCCCTAGAAGTTAATGTACTATTGTACTATTGTACATCTTTTATGTAAATTGCCACGTTTGATGAACATGCTATTTGTTTCATACCATGCCGTTCGCCATTTATATTAAAATACATGCCCCTTTCGATATCTATTCTTCAGATCGTTCAGCCATGCTTTTCATTTCGAAAACGATATCGATGTGAAGATTTCGTCTGGGATTTCAGTTATTTGTACTATTGTATGTTTGATCTATGTGAGATGAATTTATATTAAACTATTATTATGAGATACGGTCATTAGACCGGGCTTTTTGGATCGATAAATACAAGACGAAACATACACATCGGGAGCTTGCGTTTACATTTTCAACCATGCCCGATCGAGAGTCTGATCCTCTATACATAGAATGGTTTGGGGCGTATATACATTAATAGAATTGTCATCATTAATAGTTGTAGATTAGGCTAGTGGTTCCTTGGCTGATATCTGTAAAGACATTTTGTGATAGGGGTAGGTATCGGGTGCTGCTAATCACTGTGTAGAGTTTTCTTTTCTATTTTACTGATTTACTGAGTTCGAATCAATAATACAAGCGACAAATCCCTTTCCATATTCAAAAGATATCATATAACATTTCTTCGCCGTGGGGCAGCAGAATAGGGCAGAACACATAAACATAAAGCACACATGATCATACATGATTGTTTAAATCATATCAGGTATACAATACAAGGTATGCATTTTTATATGGGAAAACAGAGGGCCCAACAAATCTAAGAGGCGAGCATTCTGCTGTGCTTTAAACATTGATTACAGAAAAGATTCTCCCTTATTATTAATCTTGGTTGGTAGTCTGTATCGTGAATTTACCAAAATTGGTAATTGTCAATCGTACGTTTCCGACTATGTCATAAGCTTGGGGAATAGGGAATTGGGTCGGACATCATTTCTGTCACCGATGGCATATTTGGAAATGTCCTTTACATTTCTACCGTAAAACGTTTTTACAAAAGCCTTGGATGTTCACTTGAACAAACTCTAAAAAATAGGTGATTGCATCGGACATTTTGCCACTAATGCGTCAAATTTGAAATGTCCTCAAATGTCTACCACAAAACCAGTGATGACACCAAGGGTAAGCATGTCCTGCCCTACCGGAAGTACCCCGCCACTATCACAATTGCATAAAAAGGTAAGTGCTTGTTGACTGTCGACGCCCAGCAGAACTCCGGAAGGCCTTGGATTCTGTAAATATGAAACGTCAACGCCAGAGAATAACCAGTCTCGTTTTTTCGCCGAAACAAATTCCACTGGGCGAAAACGAATGAGAAGTATATGAATGAATCACTGAAATGCCTGCCTCTGGGCTTCCACCACATCGAACTGACTCAAACGCCGTGTTATAACTGAATTCTGATCAAATAGGTGTAAAACCAATCTGTCTGTCTGTCTCTCACTACAATTCTTCTGTAATATTACCTGGCACAAATATCCTGATACTATATGTTATTGACAAACATGATAATGTGTCTGTCAGTTCCGATGTCACAGATAGCAGCGAATACAGGTAAAACGTTGTTGCCGTACTTGAGTTCATCCTAAGCACACATCAGTCCAAGCGATGTTAATTATAAGGAACATCTACGTGAAAAACGTGAAGTGATGCTGTTCTAATGAGCCCTGTTACTTTCCCTCAATACAAACTAGGATAAATAAAGGGATATGCAAATGTATATGCGTGTACATTATAGGAACATTGTAGAGGACCCCGTTTGGTAGTTATGATTAATTACTGACAGGGAGATGTCGCCCGG